TTTAGTGCACAGAAAGTTCTGCTTGTCAGAGGCTGCAGCTGTGTGAATCGGCCCAGCAAAAGCAACTTCTCTGCTGGAGCCCTGCAGATGTGGGTCATTTCCCAGAGCCAGCCATGCCTTAATGCTCCTTATGCACAGTGAGTGCACAGTGCCTGCACCAGAGACTCTGCACATTCCTGGATCCCAATTTAGAAAAGGATTAAAAACTTGCACTAATACTTAAAAACACCTCCCCCCTGCCCCCGAGCTCATGCTCTAAACTCCTGGTTGCATCTCCCATCTTCTGACTTATGTTTCTTTGCTTGGGGAAAGGGTAGAGCTTTGCAGGAGAAGGGGATTTTTGTAAGTGGAGGTCAGACAGAAATGGATCACTCTCACATGTCAATGCTATTGGTACATATAGTGATCAGCTCTGTGGATCACAGGCCAGGTCCTCAAATGGTGTAAATCAACAATGACCTCAATGGAGGCATGCTCGTTTACACTACCTGAGTATCTGGCCCCATGTCTACATGGCATGAACTCCCCAAGTTCCCTCAGCATTTGCTGGGCTGAGTGTAAGATATGGGATGGGAACAATCTCCTTTGATTCTTACCAAAGCCTGTCCAGGAATCTGGAAGGATATTCCCTGAGCGTTACTCATAGACTGTAAGGCTAGAAGAGACCATCCTGATCATCTAGTCTGACCCCCTGCACATTGCAGGCCACAGAACCTCACCCACCCACTCCTATCATAGACCCCTAATCTCTAGCTGAGTTACTGAAGTCCTCAAATCACAATTTAAAGACTAAATTACAGAGAATCCATGATTTACACTAGTTTAAACCTGCAAGTGACCTGTGCCCCAGGCTGCAGAGGAAGGCGAAAACCCCCAGGGTCTCTGCTGATCGGACCTGGGGGAAAATTCCTTCCCAACCCCAGATATGGTGATCAGTTAGATCCTGAGCACATGTGCAAGACACACCAGGCAGATACCTGGGAAAGAATTCTCTGTAGTAACTCAGAGCCCTCCCCTTCTAGTGTGCCATCTGTGGGCATTGGGGATATTTGTACTAGCAGTCACCAATGGGCCACACACCATTGTAGACAGTCTCCTCATACCATACCATCCATACATTTATCAAGCTCAGTCTTGAAGCCAGTTAGGTTTTTTTGCCCCCACTGCTCCCCTTGGAAGCTTGTTCCAAATCTTCACTCCTCTGAGGGTTAGACATCATCTAATTTCAAGCCTAAACTTGTTGCTGGCCAGTTTATATCCATTTGTTCATGTGCCAGCATTGGCAGTTGATATAAATAACTCCTCTTTCCTCCCTGGTATTTATCCCTCTGCTGTATTTATTGAGAGCAATCATATCTCCCCTCAGCCTTCGCTTGGCTAGGCTAAACAAGCCAAGCTGCTTGTGACTCCTCTCATAAGGTGGATTCTCCATTCCTTTGATCATCCTAGTAGCCCTTCTCTGCACCTATTCCAGTTTGCATTCATCTTTCTTCCACATGGGAGACCAGAACTGCACACAATACACAAAATCCATGATCTGGAACATTGTGATTGTGGCAGAAAGTGGTGTGCAGAGAGCAAATTAATGTGCAGCTTTTGTGAATAAAGACACAAGCTCTATGCCTCTGTATCTGCCTCTCCCTCACTCCAAACAAGGCACTGAGGGTGGAAGGAAGCCACATCAGCTAGAGAACACCTTCACAACAAACCATGTTCTGGCATGAAGGGGCTGCCCAGGAGCTCCAAGGAACTTTCTGCCTTAAAAGAGTTAGCAGATGAAACAGAGGGAGAGTTGCTGGGACACAGTGAGATGGAGGAGGCGGAGGTGACACATGGTAATGGAGCTGTAGCAGCTGTCTGTAGCTTCACTCTGAGGCCTTTTGTTTTAGGTGTCCCGCACCTTTACATTTCTGAGGACTCATTTTGTTCCATGAGTCGCTGCTGCCTACATAGGAGATGCACACACTATGCTCTCCTATGGAGACTTTACTTTGGGTCTGTCTTATTGTTGTTTTCTCCTTGGTAAAATGAAAGCCATTTAGACAGACAGCATGTAGTCTGCTTTGTTAAGGGAAATATAATGGAACTCATGGAAACATGGGCAGCATTAAGAGCTCACAAATCCCACTGCTCACAGCATGTTAAGAACTGATGTAAAGTGCTGCGCTGACAAAGGCAGCTGCAGTGCACAAAGGATGTTATTAGTCCTACAAACTCTACCTGTTCTTGAGTGTCATCTACTGGCACTTATCTATTAACTAACTATTACATGTATATACAAGCAGAGAGCTCTCCTGTAACAGGTGGGATACACAGAACCAGACAGGGAACAGACAGGAGGAATGGACATGGAGCAGGAATGGGCAGAATACAGAGAATCAGAGTGACCGGTCCTGATAATTTTTAAAATCAGGGATTTTTATTTGCTGATTTTCTCAGACCTTACCATGTCCTCTCACTGGCTCTGAATAGCACATTAAGATCTGATGGCTGCATGCGGTGAGCAGCGGACTCTGTCTCACGCCTGAGATAGTGGCGGCAGTATGGAGCAATCATATGGGCTCATCCCACCTCATATCTCTTGCATCCCTCTAAGTCCCTCTCAGCTGATGCCTACGTTCCAGCACGTATAGTGCAGCTAGCAGCACTGGACAGTGCTGGCTTGGTTGTCTGCCTTACCCACGGGGCTACCTGGAATGCAGCTAAGAAATTCAACATGGCAGCCACCCTGCTGCACCCCGCCCCTTCTCCTTCTTGGGGAGAGGGGTGTTCTCATCACTTAGGTGTGTAACTTTCACCAGCCTTGAGCCACCTCCCTGAAAAGCACTGGGCAAGGGGAAGCAATGGAAGAGGCCCTCTGAATATAAGACGAGGGAGTCATTCCCTAAGCCTCCTGATAATATCTTCATTATTCAAGCAGTGCACAGCCAGGTCCCCATCTGGCTAGCTTGCATGCTGCCATCTGCAGTATATACTTCCCAGGGGCAAACACTGCTACACCTTATGGCTTAGATTTAGAGACAGTTCAAAAGTTTTCATCAAAACTTAAAAAAAACAAAAAAACCCCACAACCTTCACCTCACAGCCACAAAATGGTGGCTCAACCAAAATGAACCCATTTGCAGAACATCTTTGTTTTGGCTGAAATTGTCCAGTTTTCCAATGGAAAAAAAAAAGGAAACTGAAACATTTCCACTACAAACTTTCAGCTTCAATTTGTTTTTTGGCCAAAAAAATAAAATAAAATAAAATCTATTTTTGGTTTCCAGGAAACTCCCTCCCTTCCCCAGCCAAAATTTTACTGATAACTATCTTCAAAACCTTTCAGTTTGTTTCTTTACTGAACACATGAATGGATTTCATGAAAAGTTTTTTGGGGAAAAGGAACTTTTTAAAAATTTCTCCAAAAAAATAAATTGGCATTTTCCAATCACCTAGAGTTAACCCGTTGGGGCAGAGACGCTCTTTCTGTTGTGTGTTTTTACAGGGCCTAGCGCAATGGGTCCTGGTTCTTGTGTGGGGCCTGTACATACTACTGCAATTAAAATATGAACATTAATTATGGCTGGTTCCATCCAGAACTCATACATGGCAACCTACAAGCTCATGCACCCATGTTTCACACTATGATTCCATTACCATAGCAACTATCTCCAGTGGGTATATTCCTATCTCTCAGTGAATTACACTGCTCTCTCACACAGCCTAACATCTCATCGTGACACACTGTCAACCCAGGAGCATCAGTGCAGTTCACTAGTATGAAGGTTGCCTGAGAATGAGAGCAATCTCCTTCCTTCCCACCAGGCTGGGGGAAGCGGTCACCCAAAGATGCCTGTTCATGCATCAAAGACCAGCAAGACAACAGCATCCATCACTGTCAGAACATCCTCTGTCACTTGGTGGTGCAGGATCATTTATCCAAAGCGCAGGCACCTGGGGCATTTGGAGAAGGGGGTCCTGGAGTAATGGGGTTCACTCACCACTGGGTCTGGGGAACAGCTCTTGTTCAGTCTAGACCCCCCCCCTTCCATCACTCACTCGCCCCATGGTCCCTCTCACTCTCCAGGACTTGGGGTGCTCTCTCTTCTTGACTCAGCCCTCCGGCCAGGTCACTGTATCATTTTCTCCTTGCAGGGTTGCCAGACAATCCCACCAGAGAATCTGCCCATGTACCATCTCAGGCAGTCCTCCATGCCAATTCCCCGTCTGTCCCACTTCCCCAGTGGCTGGTACGGGAATCTGGGCCCACCTGCTACTCCAGGTTCCAGCCCAGGGACTCAGTGGCAGCCAAAGTCTGTACAATCTCAACCCTCACTGCTCATTCTTTGGGCTTCTTCCTTGCATAGGCTTTCTTCCCCACAACTCCTCTGGGTAAACCCCTTCCATCAGGGTCAGGATTCCAGGGCTTGTGGTCCCTGCTGGATCTCCTTCTACCCACCACTCTGTGCCCAGAGAGAGACTGCCAGCACTTTCCCTGCAACCCCACTCTGCTCTCAACTTTCTGGCATTATACAAGCCCAGCCTGCTCCTGCCCAGCTGGGCTTCATCATCCCTTAGACCTTAGCAGCCCTGCTTCTCCCCCAGGTACAGTTTATAAGGTTAATTGATCCTCATCTGAGCCACCTTAACCCCTTCAGGGCTGGTGTGTGTATGTGTGAGGGGAGGGTGAACACCCCATCACACCCCATCACACCTGGATCCAAACTAGCCTTCTCTTTGGCCTGCAAAACCAGAACCCGACAGGCAAAGATTTCAAAGCCCCAGCCTTGCCTGTCTCCAGCAGCAATTAGCTGTGCTCTCCCAGGGCTCCTGGCATCTCTCCCCCAGGGAAGGAGAAGGAAATCTGGATCCCTCTGTAGACGTGCCACCTTAGCCATGACAGATGACACAGGGATGGGAATGACTTGGAGGCATTTCCAGGGGTGGGAGGCTCAGTCAAGAGCCCAAATTCTCACTCCCTACAATCTCCCTTCGCCCTAGTAGCCTTTAACACTCACCATCTGGATGACAGAGACCGGCCCGATGCTGTTCACATAGATATCCACATCGATGAATGTGGGCTTGACTGGAAAGAGAGTGAAAAGGATGTGGGTGAGCCAGGGGCAGGGGTGTACAGGGAGGAACATGGGAGTAAGGGGGGAACAGGCAGGCACAAGCTGAAAGCCCCTGAATTGAGGGCTGGGAGACACCAAGAGAACTATCAGCTCTAGACCTGGAATGTGGGCACATAGATCAGGGGGTTCTAGAACAATAGCTTGAGGCTATTTCTGTTACGGAATGGGGACTGCAGGGAAGAACTCACATGGCTGGAGTCCCCTTTGCAGGTACTAGTGGACACTGCTGGGAAGAAGCTCACAGCACTGGATTCCCCCCTAGCTGGTGCTGACAGGGCACCACTGGGAGGAAGATCACAGCACTGGATTCCCCCCTAGCTGGTGCTGACAGGCACTGCTGCGAAGAAACTCAAAAGGTCTGGAACAAACCAAGAATTTCCTGGAAGCGACCATTAAAAATGTCCTCCCGCCCCACACACCAATGGGCCTGGAGACCCAGCAAAGGCTAAGGCTCGGAGGGGGGCACTTACTGCCGATGTCGGGCCTCAGTTTGTTGTCGTAGTTCTTCAGCAGTGAGTTGAGGATTTGTGTGGCATCCGTCTCCTGCGCCTTGGGGGTCAGGACCCAGGTTTTATTGATGCTGAGGTAATCGTAGTCATACTCCTCCATGCTTTCTGTCCTGGAGTAAATAGGCAAAGAATGAGTGAGCTGCCCCCATGGCACCAAGGCTACCCACCATCACAGGGATAGAGTAGTACTACGCCTCAGAGGAATACACCGCCCTTGGGAGTTTCTCTGTGTCTAAGGTTCTCCAGGTCTACCTCAGACACTTGCCCAGCATTGTCACTATGTCCTGGGGCAATGGGTAGATCAAACTGGAGTGGGAAGGGGAGCTGGATTTCCTACCATTGCCCTTTTTCTTTTCCCCACTCCAAGGTCAGCTTGAGGCATTTATAAGGTGCTCAAGGAGAGAGAGACTGGAGCTTTCCTTGCTATTAGGGTCAGGAGGGCTCCATTCCTTCCTTTGAACCACTCAGGGGAGCTGGCTATCCATGGAGGGGAAGCTCCCTGCACTCTCCTGGAGCTCCCTCTGGAGCCATGTTGCACATTTGTATCCCTACAACCGGCCTGTGCCTAGCAAAGCACAGTCCTGCCCTCAGTGAGAACATGGTGTCCTAGCCACAAGGAGAACTGCACCTCAGACCCCTCCTGTCTCATCAAGTCCCTCCATAACCAGAGCTCAGGCTTTAAGCCCCTGGCCCCAAATGGAACCACACGATTCACACGCTGTCAGGGCAGGCCCTGGATGGCATCCCCTAGTACTAGCTGAGATTACCTTAGCAGGACTGATACAGGCTCTGTTCCCCACAAGAGCCCTGACAGTGGTTATTACACTGACCAGACAGCCTTCTCAAAGCCAAGCCTTATTTACTCAGAACAAAATCATTTAAGAGACAACAGGTCTTAAGGGAATAAAGCAGCCTGTATGCATGTCTAGCGTACCAGGTGTCTAATCATCTTTCACACGGGGATCCTGGCAGGTCTCAGATTCCCAGAGATCCCCCCATAATCTCCAAGACTGGCTGTCATAGTCTGGTCCCTTAACTCACCAACCATTTCTCCCTGCTTCAGAGAGAGTCCCCTTGAAAAGTGTTCACTTCCAGGCCTGGCAAGACAAGCTTGCCTCTTCCTTGAAGCTAACAGTTTGCCCCACTCTCTTTTCAAGTGAGTGCTAGGCTGCCTTTATCTAGAGCTCCTGGGTTGCTTTGCTGTTTGCTTTTCCCACAGATCCCTACTAAGTCAGATCAATACAGTCATCCAGGAAGTTCCAATAACCCCCAAATCCTCAACTCCCTGCTGAAGAACTACAACAATAAACAAATAACTGGCCACACTATTCATTCCATCAGTACCTCGCAGTACCGATCGATTACTACAGAGCAATTCCACATCTACATTTGCTATGACTTTTAAGAATGTCTCCTAGCTGTACATGTCAGTTGTCATTCTCTCCAGTGCTGGAGAGGGCTTCTCCACAGGAGCTGCCATTGTGCTGATATATCCCAGCGATGGTCCTGCAACGCTGACATGGAAGCAGGCCCTGGGAGTGCAGACCTCCTTTTAATACGCAAGGAGGCAAAGGCTGGCCGAAAGCTTGAATGGAAACACTATTCCTTTCCAAAGTTGCAGTTAATTAATCAGGGGTTCCTAGTGTTAAAACCCATATAAAACTTGTTCCATGACCTGTCTGAAACTTTCTGCCTTTCCCGTGTACTCAGAGGTGGAGGTGTTTCTGTTATCAGAGGATCAGACCCATTTAGCTGTCTGCCTGCCTCTGTGTTTTAGATATTTACACATTGTGTCATCGCTTCCTGTCTAACTGCTCATTATCCCTTTTGATTATGCGAAAGGAGTTGTCTGCAAGTTTGCTGGGATTCACTTCCCTATCCAAGCGGAGGCAGTGATTGGACTAGGTTGTATATTATGCTGCTGTTTGCCTTTTTAACATGCCTGGTAGGAAGAAGCAAAGAGTGGAGATTGTTGCAATGAGAAAGAAGGGATCACCTGCTGGCAATGAGCCACCTACCTATTTAGTTGGGACTAAAGGTCTTGGGCTAGAGGCAGCCCCACAGGCACAGGCTGGAGTAAATTACACACTTCCTTCCACTAGCCTGGCCCAGCTCAGGGTAGAATAACTCAATAGAGAGTAGGCAACCTTGGCATCATGCCTCTCCAGCTACTGCCACCTATCCTTTGTGTGGTGGTGGTTCACAACAAGCCCTGTAATAGAGGAATTAGACCAGCAAAAAACAGAGTAACCCTGGGTTACATCTAGACCTCAACTTAATGTTCTTTAGACCCTCTTGTAAGGGATCCCTGAACAGGTCACATGCAGGGATTGACCCCAGGACCTCTGACTTGAAAGATGACACACTGCTACACCTGATCTAAAGACCCAAGTCCCACAATGGCAAGGCAGTAGCAGACCCACCAAACTCTATACCAGATGCTGCCACCAGAGCTCCTATATGCTATGTCAGGGTGGGTTACTCTACTCTCAGGCTGGCACAGTAACATCAATAGGAGAGTGGGGTTTCTTGTGTGATTTGGACGATTTTGTGTGTGGCATTTCCATATTGGCAAAAGCCCTAGAGCAGGCCCATTTATACCAGTGTAAAAGAGCTTTTGCCAGTACTTATTTTGCTCCCTGGTTTGCTATAAGCTACACCAGAGAAAGCACATTTTTGTTGGTATAAACTGCATCTGCACTAAGGTTTTCCAGCATAGCTATTCCAGCAACCCTTTTCTAGTACAGACCTGGCCTTATCCCCTGTTAAGAGGTAAAGCATCTTGTTATTAGATCCATGGGAAGGATATAGTTCAGTTCCAGGTGAAATGGTCCTTTTCTGTTGCTACGCACCATTGCCAGGTTGTGACAAAAATATCTGGAAGGAGGGCGTTTGTGTGCGTGTTTGGGTTAGGAAAGGGTGTGGCTCTAATGACACCCTTTCCCAGCTCCCTGTTTCCAAGCTCCGCCATCCCAAATCCTACCATGTCAGGCTGGGAAGATGTACTAACTGATGCCCAGCAGCTACTGCAAAGACAGAGCAAACAGGGAGATAGAAGGCCACGTCTGTGCACCAAGCCACACGCACAGCTGCCAATGGAAATGTCACATAGCAAATAGTTAGCAGTCAAGCACATGCCGTGGCTGTTCCCAAGATTGGAGTATGTGTCTCCTTGTGCCCAAGCAATTCTGACTGGCAACTTCTGACAGGTACAATCCAGCCCCCATATGTCTCCTGCAGATGCAGGGGGAAGCTGGATCCCTGCTCCTCACATCAGCTCATCGAAATGTCAAACCACTCACCTCTCAGCATAGCAACGCAGCTGAGAAGCGGGTGAGCAGAGTGAAGCAGTCAGAGCTCAGTGAGGAGCTGGGCGGGCAGTGGGGCTGTCAGACACCAGGCGAGGAAACCCCCCGGTATGGCAAACGCTGTGAGTGACACAATCGCTCCCTGCCCTGCGACCCGGGCCCATGCGGCATGTGTGATAGCGATCAGATGCACTCTTGTTTACGGATGAAGTCAGACATCCCCTTCTTGGGCAACGTGTGACATTATTGCACAAGAACACAGTGTTTTTACTTTGTGTCTGTGATCTCGAGTGTTGCTTTTCTCAAGCAGCCACTTGCTGTGTGGAAGACAACAGGCACAAAGGGGACTGATAGCTGCCGAACAATCAGAGCCTCTATTTCAGTCTGTGGGGCCAGCTAACCCAAAGAGCTCAGGGCCAGATTTTCAAGGGCTTAGCTCCCAACGAAGTGCTCTCTTCTTCAAATCTGGCCTCAATTAGAGGAGCTGCGCCTCTCCAAAAATTCTAGCCCTAGCAGTTATGCCATGTGGTGCAGTCCAGCAAAGAGGTGACTGGGAGTCAGGAGATCTCCATTCTGTTCCTATCACTGCCACAGTCATTTAACCACTCCCCCGTGCCTCAGTTTCCCCACTCGCAAAAGATGGACGATGTTACTTCCACATCTTTATGAAGTGTCTTGAGATCTATGAATTCATAGCACTAGATATGCGCTCTGTATTGTTTTTATCATGGGAAGTGACAGAGCAAGCTTCTCTGCACCCTGACAGCCAGTGTGCCCCAACCCTGGGATAATTCTGTACTCATTGGCCAATCAGTGCTGCTGCAATTAGAATTTAGCATCAGATACAAATGAGGATATTTTTGCGATGTGGACAGCTGTCCTCCGGGAAGCAGCCTGGTGCTGTAGATACATCGTACCGAACAACTGTCACTGGATTTAAGCTGTCAACGGGAAGGTGTAAGACTCAACCCCCTGAGCTGGCCAGTCCCTTTCACATGCTTTTATGGCCAGTAGTTTTTACTTTCAAACCTAAACTACAGGTGCACAGCTGGGCAAACTTTTTTTGGGCAAACTTTTTTTAGGCAAACTGTTTATTCGCCGCAAAATGCAGTTCTGGGTTGTGAATTTGGGTCAAATTCAGCAAATAGTTTCGGCCAAAAAAACAAAGATTTTTCCCACCCAAAAGTCAAAATGTTTCATTTCTACTTTTCATTTAGAAATTTAGTTAGAGTCATTTAAATGAGCAAGCAAGCAAATGAATGGGTTAAAATAAACCACCCACAAATGAAACAAAATGAAAACACAAAAACAAAATATTCTTTTTCGGGTTGCATGCAGTGTTTTGTTTGCTCCAAAATCCAATGAAATAAACAGAAAAGGCTGTGATTCACTCAGCTCTCTCTAAGTGTAAGCCCAAGGTTAGTAGAAGTCAAGTAGCAGGCCCTAGGTTTGTTATCCTGGGGCTTGAGAGTCTACACTTATTCGTAACCCTAGATTAGGAATTGTTGAACCCTGGGTCTACACTGCATCATGTGGGCCTGAATCCAATCACCCATACCCCAGACTTCCTCGCCCCCTCCCCAAATGTAGCCACTCTGGTCCTTTGTTCATGGTGCAGTGTGGGAAAACTGAACTGTCCAGAGGAGAAAGGAAGTCAGCCCATGGGATTGTGGGATACTTTTGGCAGGCTCCCAGAGCACAAGTCCAGTGGGGCTGTGTCTAGCAATAGGGCTTGCACCATGGTTCCCGGATTGACTTAGGCTTGGATCCGCCACCCCTGTAGGATCCTAGGTCAGAGTCCCAGGTTAGTGTGATTTGGGTGTAGACTAAAGGGGGTGAGGCTTGAGACTGAGTTCATACCCTGGGCTTACTCTGCAATGTGGACATACCCTAGGTGTCCATGGGTGATTATTATCCCATACTGTTGCATATTTACTTCTTGAGGGATCTGCTTGTGGGGGGCTTCCCATGTAATGAAAATATCATGCACCGAGCTCTCCTTCCTGCCACATGTAACAGTGCCACTGAGTATCTGTGCTAGGTAGGATAAAAGTCTCTGTACATTCAGATATGGGCAGAGAGGAGGAAATAAGCAGTCTGGCCAGGGTGAGCCCAACCCAGAGGGGACACCTCGAATCAGGACCTGATAAAGAACCCTCTGCATGATGTTACCCAGGTGTGGGTTGCCCTTTGGTGGGGATCTAGAAACCCCTGCCACAACTACATGCCTCGCCCCCAAATTAAAGGGGCAGGCAGAGCAGGGTCTTGAATGTATCTGCGTGGGCTCTGACGTGCAGGCAGTGGGGAATCCCTCAGAGAAGGGGACCTCACCCAGGGGCACATTCTCTGAGGTGGCATCATGGGTGGGCATCTCAGATACCACACAACCTAACCAGCCCTTCAGGAGAAGCAGAAGCTCCTTAACTGCTATCGACATGGATCTCTCCTAAAGATGGGCCCAACACAGACCCCTGGATTCACACAGCTTAGCACTTTGGGTAAGTTCAGGTTCTGATCTGGCTTGGGATGGGCTCCAACCTGCAGCATCCCAAAGCAGAATCTGTGACTCAGCCCACTGCACATTTATTGCCTTCAGTTCCTAAGGCCCAGCTGCAGGGCCCCATTGTCCCAGAGGTCAATTCTCTGCCGCACTAAACTAAACAGGTCCTCAGCTGGTGCCATGTGGCGTAGCTGCGTTGCCTTCAGTGGCAGGAGCTGTGCCCATTCACACTGCTGGGGATCTGCCCTAGGAAATGATGACACGTAAGACACCTCCACCCCTTTGCTGGGTGGGTAGTCTGGGGCGTGCAGAGTTAGCTGAACACAGGATCCAGCTGGTGCCAGGAGACTTGTCATTGCAGCTCATGCTGGGCGGAGAGATGGCATGAATCAGTTTGAGCTCCAGCAACTGGTCACATCCAGGCTGAACCCCACTTGGATTGAGCCACGGGCGCTAAGTGTGACAGAGTCACACATCACAAGCCGTAGCTGTGAAAATCCAGCGGAATATGGGCTGGGAATCTGGTGACACTCATTCCCCTCCCGCACTCCCCCCCAGCAGCCATCCTCTCCCACCCCACAAGCTCCATGCTTAGCTTAGAGCTTTCATGCTCCCAGCCTCAGAGTTCACTAGGATCTGCACATTAGTACAATTGCACTGGGGTTCATGAAGATCCACACACTAGTGCAAATACACTGGGGTTCATGTTCCCAGCCTTGGCGGTCCGGAGGATTGGCACACCAGCATACTGGTATCAAGATTCATGCTCCCCACCCCAGACTGTATTTGTAATGGGATTTGATCAGCTTTACGTTGGCTTATTCTGCAAATTAGCGTCAGCCAGTAAAATCCCTCTTCCCCTGAGCCCGAGGGGGTAATGATCCGCTGACAACATGTTCTTTTCCCGATCCGGCCGTTAAGCTCACCAGCAGGGTTAGGAATAGTAAAAACGTGAACACCCTTGCTTGGGGCTTTCAGCGCTGTCTACAGAAAAGCTTTACAAGCTGTTGGCTGTGGGACAGAGTCCTAATTGCCCCACACAATACCACTGGAGCGTCCCATTGAAATGGGCATCAAGGGCCCAGGAAACAACAGGGACCTGCCAACGTGTAGAGTTTGTCAGAGATGAACGCTCCCACCCTCCTTCCTGGCTCTGTTCTGCAACAATGGGGTGCTCATCCTGGGATGCCCTGGGTCCTTTCTGATCATGGCTGGCCATCTTGCATGCTGGATACATGCGCTCCCTCCAGCCACACTGGCAAACCGTGCTCTCCTGGGAGTAGACCCTGATCTGCTGAAAAGGGGCAGGCAGAAATGCACAGCCTCCTTGACCCATGTGCATTAGTGGCTGGGTCCTACAAGACACTGAGCGTCCCCTCCTTCCCATTGCAGTCAGTGGGAACGGCTGGCACTCACAGCCAGAGATGAGACACATCTGCAGGAGATTTGAGTTACAAAGGTGCAAAAAGAACCTAAGGCTAACGTTTTTCTCTCTCTGCATGGAAAGAGTCCTTTGAAGTCAAAGGGATTTACACCAACTGAGGAGCCTGGCCAGTAGCTAGAAGCATCAGCTGGGTTCCAAAACAAACCAGAAGAGAGAGAAAGAGGAAATTAAGACAAAAAGGAAAATGTAACAATACTGATACCGTTAGGAAATGTGTGTCTGCTCTGTGCTTGTGCACTGCAGTATCTTTTGCCTAAGGCTCTCAAGGCGCTGTAGCGTGGGGTGAAAGTATCATTATTATCCCCATTTCACAGGTGTGGAAACTGATGCACAAAGAGAAGTGACTTGTCCAAGGTCACGTAGTGAGTCAGTTGACCTGGGAACGGAGCATAAGAATGGTCACACTGGGTCAGACCCCTGGTCTATGTAGCTCAGCACCCTGTCTTCTGACAGAACAGAGGCCAGTGCCAGATGCTTCAGAGGGAAGGAACAGATCAGGGCAATTTACAGAGTGATCCATCCCCTGTCGCCCACCTTCTGGCAGTCAGAGGTTTAGGGACACCCAGATTATGGGGATGTGTCCCTGACCACCTTGACTAATAGCCATTGATAGGCCTATCCTCCATGAACTTACCTAATTCATTTTTGAACCCAGTTATACTTCTGGCCTTCACAACATCCTCTGGCAATGAGTTCCACAGGTTGACTGTGCGTTGGGTGAAGAAGTACTTCCCTTTGTGTGTTTTAAATCTGCTACCCATTAAATTTCATTGGGTGACCCCTGGTTCTTGTATTGTGTGAAGGGGTAAACAACAGTTTCTTATTCCCTTCTCTGCACCAGTCATGGTTTTATAGACCTCGATCAGATCCCCCTCTGTTGTCAGTTTTCTAAGCTGAACAGTCCCAGTCTTTTAAATCTCTCTTTGTACGGAAGCTGTTCCAGACCCCTAAGAATTTTTCTTGCCCTTCTCTGTAACTTTTCCAATTCTAATATATGGTTCTGGAGATGGGTTGACTAGAACTGTATGTAGTATTCAAAGTGTGGGCATTCCACGGATTTATATAAAAGCATCATGATATTTTCTGTCTTATTTTCTATCCCTTTCCTCACGATTCCTAATATTCTGTTAGCTTTTTCAACTGGTACTGCACTGAGCAGATGTTTTCAGAGAACTATCCACCCTGACTCCAAGATCTCTTTCTTAAGTGATAACTGCTAATTGAGACCCTATCATTTTGTAAGTGTAGTTGGGATTATGTTTTCCAATGTGCATTACTTTGCATTCATCAGCATTGAATTTCATCTGCCATTTTGATGCCCTAGCCCAGATCTCCTGACTCCCAATCCTCTGCATTGAATATGGGACCAAGGCAATGGTCTTTTCTTCAGAAATCATCCCTTTCGGCAGCGTACTAGCTGCAGGGGATTGAGGGGATGCTGATGGGAGGGTGGGAGTTCTCTGCTTGCCTGGCATTCAGAGCAGTGGCAAGTTCACGGAGGCACACATGGCATGGTGCTGAGTGAATGGTAATGGCAGATGGGCAGAGCGGGCACAGCACGTGGGGTTGCGGGGAACGGGGGAGCCTGAAATGCCACGTCTGGCCAGAGAAGCAATTTCCACCCCGGCTGGAAGCCAATGCCAGAAAACAGATGAGAAAGCCCACCATGTGGAGATTCGTGCTAACCATTGTCTGACAGAGCCACCTCCGGGACCATCTCCTCTCTCCCCACTGCACTTCCAGGCCCTCTCATCTGACTCTTGAACCGAGCAAGGGAGACACACTATACCTCACGCAAAAACAATACTTGGCGCCTTTCACCTGAGCCTCCCAAAGTGGAGAACAGCTGTTAATAAAGACAGGCAGCGTCTCTGCGAGCTGTCATGCCCCATTCTACAGGGGAGAGTGGTGAGGTGCTGAGAAAAGAAGGGACTTATCCAAGGTCACCCAGCAGGTGACAGGGCACAAAGAGAACGCAGGGTTCCTGACTCCCGTGCCAGATGTATAGGGGAAGGGAGCATCCCTAGTTAATTGCTCATCACTCCAAGCACCTATCTTCCTCTTTGTACTATGCTTAACATGCTTTTAGTCCCTTCCCTGCAGGGAGCAGAACTGGTGGCTCAGCCCCAAAGGTCCCATAAGGCTTCTTTCCTTTCCATGACTCCAACCCCACCTGGCATGCGAAATGAAGGCAGAAGGGTCCAGCTTGGACCAGACAAGCAACACAGCCTACAAAATACAGCCGGGCTCATTAGGAGCAGGCAGGCGAGTGGATGCTAGGGACAGGGTGAGGGGGCTGCTGTCAATCCCAGAATCTCTTTGGGGTTGGGGTAGGTACATTAGCAGAAAGCAGAGTTCTCACCTTATCTGTAGGGCGGGATAGATTGTCAGGTACATCAGGAAAACTTTCCCAGACATCTTAAACGCACGAGCCAGGCGATCCCAGGGAAGCGCAGTGTCCACATAAAGAGAGGCAGCTCGGGCTGGCGTGGCTACAGTTTGACAGATTCCTTCCTATCCAGTTTACAGGGGGGCCCAGGGGCTCCCCTCTCTCCTTCGCCAGTCTGCCCCAAGGGATGGCCAGCTCAGTCCAGGTGTGCTGCAGCTGGAGTCTCTGGGGACCAGGAAAGAAAACACTTGTAGCAACCAAACAAAAAACTAAAGGTGGCGGTGGCAGGGGAAACCCACCCAGGAAAATCCAAGTTCAGAAAGAGGAGGAAAACCAAGCCTGGTGCCTTTGTGTCTCCTTGCCCTCCAGCAAGTTTAGGGGCTTTTCTTCCATTCCTGCCTGTGTGGGCACTGTCTCTGTGGCTTTATTGTTGAATTCCCAATGCCCAATCTCTTTATAGAAGGGTTTCCCCTCTTCTCCCAGCTCACCAGCTGTGCCTGTGCCCAGCAGACAGGTGCAGTGAGAGCTGTGTGTGTGCGCACAGCACAAGCCCCACCGGTTGCTATTGCAGCCTAGAATACTGAAATCCTCTTCTCTCTGTCCCCCTCCTTTTCTCTGCCCTTCTCTCTCTATTTCTTCCTTCTGTGCTTCTCTCCCCAGCCCTCCCAAACTCGCCCACCCTCCCTCCGGCTTTTAATCCTTCCTTTCCGATCCTTTTGGAAAGAAGGGTCAAAGTTGGGCATTTCTTATCCTGCTCCTTGGCAGGAGAGGAGCAGAGCGAGTGAGAGGGAGACTGGCAGGGAAGAGGAAGAGAGATGCTCAGAGGACTCACTCAGGGTCCTAGCTCCCCCCGATTTAGTGCAAGGGGTGGAGGAGGGCCTCCTCCTTCCCGGCAGGGCAAGGGTTAACAGCTGCTTCTTGAGCCTTTCTTAACGGGAAAAGCAAAAGCAAAAGCAAAAAAAGTTCAGTTGCCAGGCTGACAAAGGCTGTATCCAGAAATCAAAGGGAAATGCCTATTTGTGCGTCACCGAGTTCCCAAACGGAAGCTTTTGGGAAGGAGAAAACCGGAATTCATTAACTTGTGTAAAGCTCTCGCTCTCCTCTTTCACCTAACGAGACATGACAAGGTCGTCGCTCGTTAGTCACAGTGTAGTGTAAACCCACGTGCAACGTTTTGTTAAAAGCTGGGGAGCGAGGCTGTTGCTAGCAAAAATGTGCCAGAAGCAAATGCCAGCAACGCTGCGCACCCAGTGCATTGTGGGTGCTAATGCACGAGAAAGCATAATCACTCGCTGCCCTCCCCACCCCCCCGCCCATGAGGCGAAGCTCTCTGTGCACAGCCTTGCTCCTGGGTTATGTCCAGGTCTAGTGTCGGCCCATCACAAAATAGCCAGGGCCTCAACTCACAAGTGCTCATTCATGGGATTCACACTGTGCGCAGTGGGCTTCTCTTGCAGAATTGGGATCCTTCACTCTAAAGGACATTCTGAAACGCAGCTTTTTGCCCTGTGCATCCCAGAGCAGACCAGGCAACTGGGCATCATATCACATCCCTCCTCAAAACTCTCCTTTGCCAGGATGCTAACAAAAACTTGACCACGATTAGACGGCTGGTGTGCTGAGACCACTGCCTTGCATGCTGACCAATGCTGTCTCATTGTTTCCCTATACACCTCTCTCCCCCGGCTGTTTTTCTGCATGTGTCTGTGGTCTCTTTTCTTATAATTAAGGTCTGTCTCCACTTAGAGCTGTTTCCCAGTGTGTTAAAACTACAGATGTAGCCGCTGCTCTGCAAGCAGCCGGGGCTAGCTGCTCTGAGTACGATCCCGTCCAAGACCCAAGGTATGTACTCGGGGTGGTTAGCCTCTCCCACTGCTCATGCCACCATGGCTGCGCTTCTATTTTTAACACACGAGCTCAATCAGAGCTAGCAGAGATGTACCCTTAGATTGTAAACTCTCTGGGGCAGGGATCATCTTTTGTTCTCTGTTTGTCCAGTGCCTAGCACAGTGGGGTCCTGTCCATGGCAGGGGGTCCTAGGCGCTAGGATAATAATAATAATAATAATTAATAATTAATAATAAATAATAACTGACTTGTACACTATTGCCAATGCTGTTCTGTTGCCATACAGGGAGATAGTGCTGCTTCGTGCAGGCATCAGGAGACCTGTGGGCTGATCCCAGCTTTGCCACTGATTCACCGTGAGACCTTGGGCAAGCCATTTCACTCTGTGCTCGGTGGCCCCATCTCTTAAAAGGGGATAATACCTGTTCACCTTTCAAAGCGCTTTGAGATCTTTCACTGAGAGACACTGAGAGGATTATTCAAGAGCAGTCATCACATCCTGTCTCTGGGAGTGGTTCGTTCTGCCGAGCCAAAGGTGAAAAGGCCATAACACAGCTTGTATGGGGAAAGGGAAGTTGGTCGTGTGGCTAGGACACTGGTGTAGGCCTCAGGAGTTCTGGGCTTAATTCCTGGCTCTGCCACCGATTCACTGGGTGACCCTCGCCACATCACTTCATTTCTCAGTGAATCACTCCCCCCTCTGTTAAGTGCCGATAACGCTTCCTTTGTTTAGCTTGCAAGGAGGAGAGTCTTACATCTCAGTGCAGCCCCTGGCCCAATGGGGCCTTAATCTCAGATGGGACTTCAGTGTGCTACCATAACACAAACAATAAATAATAGTAACACACCTGGCCAATTTTGCAAGGCTGGTCAGTAGCAAGGCAACTATCGCTGACTCTTTCCACGATCACCTTATGCTGTGAAGCGTGATATTTGGCTACCCATCATATACCACAGAAGCGCAGCCTGTCTCACAGAAGCTCCAAGATGGAATGTCCTTATATTAAGTGGCTGTGTACATGGTTGTTATATTCACAGCAGCCTGCGATGAGCTAGTGAGGCCTCCAGGAAGGTAATGTCAGAAAGAGTAAATAATGCAGATCAAAGCTTCAGGGAGTGGGGGGTAAAAAGGGCTCTTCACACTCCAGAGAAGGTCTTGGGGCTGAAACATGCTGGGAACATTGGCTCCTTCATTCAGTCTGGCCTCCATTACGAGTGGTACTGAGCCTCCTGCTTGGCCAAAACAGCCCGGGAATAATCCCAGCAAGCAGGCGAACAGGAAGGCTTGTTTTCAGTGTATGTAAGAAGCACTGAACCCTGGCGTCCAGCTGACTATCAGAGATCTGGGCTTTAATCTCACAGAGCTTGCTCAGACACAGACCCCCATTGCCTGCCAGGGGAATTTTGCTGGAGTAAGAGTGCAGGATCTGGCCCTTGGCTACTATTCCTGGCTAGGCCCCAGGAACCCCATAGCCTGACTCCCAGCCCAGCCCAGGGTCTGACGGCATGGGCAAGTCTCTGCTCCACATTTCCCCTTCACAGGGCTGTTCACAGCCGCATTCATGAATGTCTGCAAAGTGTTTTGACATCCCTGGCTGGAAGGGACTAGGGAAGGACAAAGCATTATTAGTGTATTGCTCCACCAGGTCTCCTGGGAGAAGTTTCCTAGCCAGCCTCTTGTGTCCTGTATTCTTTACATTAAACCAGAAGGTACCTCTTGCTTCACCTTCCATGCTGCTCAGTTCTCATCCAGGCCAGTAACAGGCAATGTCATTGGGCATGGGTACTAGGGCCCTCCAGACAGAACAAGGTTATCCAGTGATAGGCTTACAGCCTCCCATCCATGTGCACAACCATTTTAAATGCATGGTGCTGGTTCTTACACTTGGCTGAGGTGATGGTGAATGATGCCCCCTCTTCCACATTTATAATAGCAGGCTAGTGCAGAAGGTGAAGGCTGAGGTTAATACACCTTCGACTCTTATCTGCCTATCGCTCGCACTAAGGGGTGGTGGAGAGCTGGCGCCCTGGTCACTCATGCAGTGGCTTCCTTCTCTAGCTCGTCAGTAAAACTCAGCTGATTGTTCTCTTGCCTGCAAAGGGTCTGAATGGAGTCTGAGCTTATGCTAATATTAATCAGAAGTAACTCTGCTAATTCAAGGGGGGGAAACCTGGTGTGAGAGAGGGCCTAGACCTTAGGTGCCTACTCTCCAGGAGAGAGCAGGCCCCTGGCATTGGCAGATTTGTGAGGTGTGGAAGCCCACAGGTGGAATATCAGTGGATGTTGCAAGTCAGGGTTGAAGTGCACTGGGAGAGCTGTATAGAGGCTGCCAGGCCCTGAAGAGCAGGGTGGGACTCGGATGCATCACAGAGCAGAGTGGGGATTCTGGGACTAGAATGACTGGGGATGTCTGTAGGTCAGGATGGCGGGGCAGCGGCAGAGCAGGGTTGTGTCCCAGAAGTGGAATGGCAGAGGGTGCCGATGTTCTGGATTGAGGTGAATTTGCAGTGCTGCTTGGGGAAGGCTGGCACCGGGCCTGCCCACCTCTCTCTGGTGCTGCTCTGTGTTATCAATCTAGCAGCACGACTAGGGGCGCTTAGGGTCTCTGGCTTTGGTTGGCAGCCTAGGAAGCTAAGTGGCCTCTGGCACATTTGTCAAAGAACTGGGGACAGTTCTGGCATCCTGGCCTGTGCTCCCTGTTGGAGCAAACCAGGTTCTAACGGCCTAGGTCCGTATGCTGCAAAGCTGCAGTGGTTCCTAGGGTAACCGCTGCACTTTCAGCCCCCAAGCCTCCTCTCACACCAGTGCAAATTGGGGCCAAGCCCATTCAACTGACTGGGGTAAAGATGGTGTAAACCAGAGGTGAATCAGGCTTCCAGTGTCTCCTTGTAAAGCCCTCTGGGAGACACTGAGCAGGGTACTCTCCTCAAGCACCAACCTCTTCTCTACAGTGCAAAGTGGCCTGTTCTGTTCACCCCATCAGGACATTTGTTCACCATCGCAGGGTGTTTGTACCTCTCACACTCACTAGAAAGCCCCTGCATGGTGGCAGATGCTGCATCCTGGCTTACGCATCATCAATAACCCCTCCAGCTGGGCTCCGGCTCCACAGTCACTATTGTGGCAATGATGAAGGAAGCAAAGAGGACACAGTTTGATATTCAGGTGCCAGGTTGAGCTTGCTGTGCTGACAGGTACAAAGATTTTGTTTTGATTTGTAAGCTGAACAAATGTGACAGGAAAAAGTCACTTGCAGGAGAATGGAGAGGGACAGGACAGCAAGGCACCGTTGTTTGCAGATTTGCTTTTCTGACTCCTCCCCTGCTCAGATTTTAAGGGGTTAAACCTCTGATGGGGTCAATGTGTTAAAGGAAGGGACCCGTGATGGCAGATATAATAGCTTATCTGGAAAATATTGTAAATATACACACTATAGAAAAACACATGCATCCACACCCACACACGCAATGTGTTTTTCTAACTAAAGGGAAACCTGTGATCTGTATTAAGGATAGAACAACCCACCAAAATCTGGACGGACATGAAGCGAGGGCCTGTACACGGCAGGGCATTTAACTCATCATGGGAGCACCTCTCCTTCCTCTTTGCTCCTTTTGTCCTATCCTTTTGATTTGTTCTCCTCCATCCCCTCTCTACTCACCTCATTAACCCACCCAGTGCAGCCAAAGGCAGAGTAAGCATCCTTCTGAGGGCCCTGCCAGCGTGCCTCTGCCTTGCTCCAGAGGGGTCCTTTCTTAGGCTGAGAAGGAAGTGCCGTTTCCATGGCCCATTCAGTCTGGCTCTTCTGCTGAGGCTGCTAACAAGACTGCTGCCAGCTGCGGCCAGTTGTGCTAGTGATTTTATGCTGTGGACATTTGCGTACTAGCGGGTCGAAGAATACTAGCTCGTTTCTCGGTCTCTCTCTTATTATATCATACAG